ATTCTGGATGTTGTTCTTTCCAGAACTGGTACATTCTTTTCAGATAACCTCTTCTTGTTGGACTTGATTTGTAATAGCAAATCATTATTATTTCTGTTTTCAGTCTTTGCATATTTGCAATGGGTAAACAACTTTTCTTCCAGTAGTCCTGCAGCTGCTGGCCCTGGTCGCTCAGCCAGCAGTTCTGCATCCTATAGCTCACTTGTCACCAGATGTCCAAGAACCAGAACACCTAGCACGGTCCCTGTTGACCCAGGCGACGACTGAGCCAGTATGGGTTTCTGTAAATTACGTCTCATCATATTGCTTATGGCACAGACACTCTTTGTCTGGCTCCTCTGATGAGATCTGTCCAGTATGGTTGAACCTCTGGCATAGCTCTCATCCTCCTTGGAGCATGCAAGCCCCACAACCACATCAAGGTAGCACCTCACTGGGGGTTGTTATTATTATTAAACAAATATAGTGTTTATTATTATGATTTATTTATGAGCAGTAATTCCTTGGACTAGAATATTTCCTATCCAATAACAAAAAGGAAGACGTTTTGGAGACAAGCCTTGGAGAGGTGGGATTTTCCACAGTATGAGCAAGGAGGCCTTTTTCGTTCTGTTCCTGCTAGTGCCTTTGGAGAACCATTCTTGTCATCTCCCATATTTATTAGTGATCCCTTTGCATCTCCTGCTATTGTCCTCCTATTGAAATGCCTCCTACTTCAGATCATCCTCCATGTTCCTTCTAAATAAATTAAATCATAAAATTAAAAACACACAATAAGCAAATGATATTGACAAAGAGGTACTTATACCATAGCTAGTAGCATGGAAGAAAACTAAAATATGATGCAGGCTTACCTTGAGCGATTCCATAGATGCCAAGCCTTTGCTAAGAGATTTTGAATATCCTTCCCCTTTGAGGAGCCAGGTGGAAAAAGCCAAGCTCATTCTTCAGTTGTGTAGAAGTTGCATAGGATAAAGGATTTCAACAGATGTAAATGTCAGTGTTCTAACTTTTTAAAGTGCAAGAAAACTGTGTATTTTTTGTTCTTTGGATCTGCTTACCATTGTTACCTGGAATTTTAGGCTTCATTATTAGCATTTTAAAAAGGTGATATTAGCATGTTTAATATGGCAGTCTAGGCCTCTTTTCTAACTTTAGGAAAGCATGCTTTTCTTCTGGGCCAAGGCCATTTCTTTTGGTATGTTTGAGAACTAAACAATAGAGAGTGTATTCTGAAAGTCCTTGAATACACTTGCAAGCTTTATAGATACAAACACAGCTGGGAAAGGGAGTGACGTAACCCATACATTTGCCACTTGTGGAATGTTATCTGGAATCAATGTTTTCTATTGTTTAATTCTCACATGTAATCAATGTCTTTTATTGTTTGATTGCTTGGTTTCTGACGTATCACATATACCAAATGTATGTATCATTTGTTTCTGTACCCTGTAAAAAGACTTGACCCACCTTAATAAATGCTTTTTGCTTTGCCTGAATTACTGGGTGGTTCGTATTTTCAGGTAGGCTAAGAAGCCACTTTTGCAAAGGTAAAATGGTTTTCTCTCCCAAATTTAGGGAATAGGTCTTCAGCTCCACGCCACTTGGGGTGCCTGAGTTTTAAAGGAAACACCATTTCTACTATGTACATTTTTCAATTAACCAGATGTACTGTCTGATAAAGTTGTCAGTTAATACAGTAAGAACCTATACACACACATATAAAATAAATTCTAAGGCCCACATGATAAACTCAGTTATTTCTAAGGAATGAATAATCTATGGAACACAAAGATGGAAATAAAACCAAGTAATCCACGACTTGAAGTGTCAAAAGTGCTTGCAGTTCATGCCTTTAGGCTTCCTCATCTAACCTTTATGAAAAGAAACAACCAGCTTAATGAACTAATCATAATAAAAGTAGCCAGTCTTCACTTGAACAATTTGAACTACAGAGGGAATCTGACCCAGCTTTCCAATCTGCAATTTACAAGCTGCCTCCTTAAGAAGTCCTCTACCCCCTACTGTTGCACTCGGAATATCTTGTAGTGCAAAATTCAGCAGCAACCTTTTGTAACTTAGAACCAACATGTTAATAGCAGTAGATTTAGGCATTGCAGGATTCAGCTACTCTGGTAGCTGGTAAAAACACATTTTTTTTCTGCTATCCTAATTTGAAACTTAAACCTGGAGGTTAAGGGGTGGGGTGGGGAATCAATTTCTCTGTTT